CTAACAGAGTATCACATGAACAATCAGACAGAGTTGCCATTCTACCAAAAACTGGGGGATTTTCTTCCAAGTGATGAATCTGCAGCACCAAGAACCCTAGTTCTTCCACGCACATTTGGGTGGGCGGGTGGAACGATGAGTTCTTGGGTTCTTTGATTTCGCGAGGAAGGGGAAAGCGGGATGCACGAAGAGGGGGGAGCCGCACCTTGGCAAGTGGGGGGCGAGAGGACCCACGACGGCGAGGAGGCGCTCGCGGCGGCGGGGACCGGGTTGGGTCGTGGGCGAACGGGGGCGGGGGCGGGTGTCTTGGACCAGTCGGGGAGGCGGCGGCGCTTGGCGGACTTGGCGGCGTAGGCGGCCTCGATGGCCTGGAGCTCCGCCTCGGCCTCGGCATCCCAGTAGAAATCGTCGTCGTCGTCGACGGGGCAGGGCAACGCGGGAGGCGCCCCGGACTCCATGGCGACCGGATCCGGTGGACGACTCGCCGGCGCCGGTGGTGGGACTTGGAGTATCGGAGGAGGGGGAAAGATCGAGTTTTTTTTTTCTTCCTGTATGTATATTGCCAATTTTAAAATCGTGGGGACTGAGAGGGAACATTCAGCTAATCTCTTTACTTTTTACTCCGCGTATTAGATTTGTGTTAAAAATTTATAACATTTGATCAAATTTATGTTAAAAATTATCAACATCTACAATGTCAAATCAATATGTAAATCTTCGTATTTTTTTTCAAAGTAGTTCCTGAAATTTTTAAAATGTTGACGGGTTTGAAAAATACTCATGGTTTTTTAAAGTTTGACTTATTTTATCATTTTCAAAAAAGTTCACAATTTAAAAATTCCACATTTTCCCTATATTTGTCTATCAAAATTATGAAGTAAATACAACATATTTACCTTTTTTGGAGACAAATACAACATATTTACCTAATCACCAATACTGAGCTCTGATGCTTGTCCACAATAATTTCTCCACAATTTATTGATTAAACACACAATTGCTGCTCGCCAACATCGTCACCCATGCATCTAGAAGACCCGGAAAAAAACTAAAATTATGTGCAAAAACAACAAACTCTCCATATCTTTGAGCTACACACAACACCATACCAGCCCAAGAGCTCTATTAACCAATTTCTCGTCAACATTCAACCCAACTTACATCAAAGTCATGTATGCATAATCCCCTTCCCGTTATGTACTTAGAGTTAACTAAACGACGTTCCCTAATTGTTGACTACATATCAGTGTCTGTCTAGACAACTCATATTAGGTGGAAAATCAAAATAATTCACATCAATAACGACTCCAAATCCATGGAGCATTGTTTGG